GAAGTAATAACGCAATATGCATAACATATAATGTCAGTGAAACTCTTCCTCGAAACTTGCCCCAGATAATCGCGACCGGACTATTGTCGACATAATTCCAGCCGTTTTACCTGAAAGTGTAGCGCGATAGCGTGCGTGTATTCGACCAGACTTATCGACCAATTTTCTTTAATTCAGCATTCAAACACAGCAGACCAAAAAACAGCCAAAACACGATTATTTGAGTTGAATTAACGGCAAATCTTAATAAAAGCAATTTTCTGTGCTTTAAAACAACGTTGTTCTAAATCAACGCAACTTATGATACATTGATCAATCCTGATCTTCCTTTATTTAGAAGGATTGCTTATTTGGTTCAAGTCAACCTTTTTTTCATAATCTCACTTGGTTTGCGGTTCTGGATCAATATACAGTCAATGGACATTTTAGAGATGTTTATTTCAAGTCATTTTGATGTTATACGAGCATAGTTTTTCATTTTAAATCGGCTAAAAAATTGTTGTTTTGAACCATTGGTTGGCAAGTTACCATTGAAGAAAATAGTAGAAACACAGGTCTCTCTCTACTCTTTCCTTCAATGGTACTTTTTATAACGTTCAATTATTCACAATTCCAAGTGCAATGTCTTATATCTCTCAAAAATTTTAGATCAAAAAGTTATGGGATAAGAATGTACCTTTCCGTGAAATAGTGGTTTTGAAAAATAAAATTAAAACAGAATTGATGGGTTTTGAGCTGAACAATTTGATCCGAAAACACACTATAAGCCCTTGTTTAACAACTTAAGAATTGTGTTCTACCGTTGAATTAGATTACGGAAATATCAGTTAGAGCATTAAGGAAGGTAAAAATAAAGTTTCCGAGATCGACAACATGGCAACTTCCCTCGGTCTAATAACAGATAGCGACAACTCAGAAGACTTAGAATTGCTCTACAAATCACGCTTTGGGAAACATCGAAACCCAACATAGGGCATCAAGGCGGACTCTAATGAATTCTGGCTGGAAGCGACGAGAAACGAATCTTTCGAACACTTAAAGGTCTTCCACCAAAAACGTTATTTGAAATTTTATTTTTTCCTCTGAATTGATGCTTTCGGTGACGTTAAAATCTCAACCAGAATATCGTTTCGCATTCCCTCCAGCCGGGGCATACACATCACAGAATACATAAAGATCAAGATTTAACACTGGTTTCTGATTGGAAAAATGAAGTAAAAAGGAAATTTGACACCTAATGAAGAATGTTCTATCTACTCTGTTGAATTCAGTCCGGTCGATCTATTCAACCAATCACTCAAACAGCGAATATCCAAGCGCCTGGAGAACTCAAGAAACTAATTTGATCAAATTAAAAGATAACGTTCGTTATGTTTGATGGCGGATCCAGCACTAACGTAAACTGAAAACGGACGTCAAGATATGCAGTTACGTACTCTCAAAATTACCTTCTGAGGCTGCAAACCGTACAGTTCGGGCTCCTTTTGATATCTGGTATCGACGTAACTGTGTCAGGTATGCAACCCACAACACGCAACTTAAACTGAGTATCTGACGCGTAATTGAAATTAAGTAGGTATATCATTAAATGGTACCGTTGTTCGGATGCAGCCTTGTAATCTTGACTGAAAACTCGCCGACACGGGTAGAGTACATTCACCGTTTGGGTACGTGCCAGAGGTTGAATTGACCGCCCTTGTAGGCTCAAACAAACTGCACTTGTTTCCCTGATGACTTGAACATTCAGGACTCAATACCTAGCGCAATAGTAATGTAAGATCAACAAAAACCCTTTCATCAATGCGATGGCTATACTGTCATGCTATGGAAAAACGCCGTATGAGAATCAGGCGTTGCGAAATTTCCCCCGGCAAATCACTGCTTTTCAGGAAAATTTTTGACCGCTTTACCGATTTCTCAGATAATTTTTTTGTAATTTGATCTGAAGTCCCTGAAAATTTCAATGAAAAATATTCATAATTTTGCTAAAAAAATAAACATTTTATCGAAAGAAATTTAGCAACTCTCGAATGTTCATACGGCGTTCTTCCTTAGCGCGGCAGTATATAGTTGAGAACTTGAGAATACAGTCTCGTTGCCGTGGAACTTCAAAACGTGCTTTTATTTTCATGTGCACTGAGGTGTACTTTACCGATGACCAAAGTCGGAAACCACGTATCTCCATTGCGATGTTTCATATTTGCCACTCCTATTTTATTCATTCAAAGAGAAACAGCCTACGTTATAGCGTTGACTAGTTTTCCTTAGAAAAAATAAAACTTGACCAAATGTCTGCAACGTTGCAAACGGAGATACGTGGTTTCGAACTTTAGCCATGGATATCTCTTAAACTATGAACGGGCAAAATCTGAAAAAATTTAGGATTCACTTCAAAGGAAAGGAAAGAAATCAACAAAGAATAACATTCCATACCAGCCAGGAATAATGCAGGATCGAAAAGGTCGAAGAATGAAAATAAAAGAGGAAAAAATATTTGTTTAAAAATGCATTTAAATTTTGTAAATTAGCGCTGTCTGGTGGAAGATGAAGACACACATGTCACAAACGTCGCGTCGACTCGAGAATATTATTCGTCTTCGTGTTCTTCACTGGATCGATTGTGGAATCTTAGTCGAATTATCTGAAGCTAAGACAGGGATAAACCTATTAAGGTCGTTCTGTAAAGATTACAAATTGACCCGCTGGTCGGCGAATCTTGTAACCTTTTTAAATGAAGGATTGACGTGTATGTTTCATTGAAGCATATTTTTAATAAGAAAAAAACACATCTCGCTGATATGCGATGCATTACTTGACTGACAATTCGTTGAAACTAATTCATAGCGATTTTCAGGCTTTGCGAGCTTACAAAGACAGAGCGAAAGAAAAAAAAGTAACCTTTAAATAGCACTGGTAAATCAAAGTTTATTGCTGGGAAATGTGAACTATCTCGTCAATATTCAATTCGCTGCGTTTTTACTGACATTTTAAATTAACATCACTCAGCAGTTCTCATTTGTAAATGAGTAACTTGATATATTGAAGACCTCCACTTTTGTAAAATTTTAGTCGATGAGTGTACATATACATTACATACGACACAATGCTGCTGCATCGGAAATCAGATGAGCATTTTTTAACTTTGATACGATTTCCAGGCGGTGTAACTCAAAGCAAGAATCACCACAAATCAAAAGACAACATGACATCCCATCCGTAATTTCCCAGGGTTGTAACAATACTCAAATGCTCTTGCTTTCTGGGAGAAGAGGATAGTAATACAGAACCTACTTGCCAGGTCTCGATGAAATACTACCATCACAGTTAGTTAAAAAATTAATTTTTTGTCTGATGTTGCAAGACTGTTTACGGATGAATGAGAGCAATTGAATCATGCGCGGCAGAACACAAGTGACGGTAGGAGAGGTGCGGTGCTCTGAAAATGACCTGATATTATAAAATGTCACAGACTAACCTTGGTATTTACGCCCTGCTAAACTTTTCTTCTCGTTCTCAAGAGGAGGAATCTTTTGCCTTTGTTTCTCATCTGACACGCCGCACCTTATTGTTCTCAAGCGAAGTATTTTAACCCTATGATGTTATATGATAGTCTGCTCAAAAATGCGTTTCATACATTTTAATGTGCAATGTTCAAAAATGCATGCGGCAGTGCATAGATGGAATGGTGTTTGACCTTACACTTTTCCTTTCCTTCGAGAGTATGAGCGCTAAGATTTCGAAAACGTTCCCGTATATTTTTTCACTAAACTTTTAGTTATCGCAAAAAATCCGCATTGACAGCTGAAAATTAATTTGATAAACTAATAACTAAAGATTATTTTCTACGTTTTTCACACCCTTGTTGTATTAATTCAAACAATTTTTTCAAGAGATTAGGATAATTTTTAACAGCAGAAATTGTTCGGTTCTTCAATAAAAATATCGCTAGCAACTCCAAACCAAGTTTGTCAAGTCAAAATAATCAAGACTTCTGGCAGGAGAATTCTTCGTTCTTTCCCTTTTTTTACTAGTATTAACTTGAACGGGTATCAGTCATGAAATGAACCAAGCAGCGCCACTAATCAATTGGGAAGGAATGAATTTTAATCTTGATTCTGTCGGCGTTGAGCATTCCCACTAGTTAGCGGGAATCTTGGGTACCTTGCCCTCTGAGGCGGGGGCTTTAAGAGAAACGTGAAAGTCGGAAGTGACGACCCGGCCAAATTTTATTTGTCTGCATCCTGGGAGTGATATCATACTTCGCAGGAATTAGCTCCGACTGTCTATAAAACCACGTGAATCAGCATGCGCTAGTATCGCTTTTTTCCCCCGGCTCCCAAAAGTTACGATTGTATAATCAGCCAATCCATGGATCCGAGGAAAGTAATCGCGTCCGTTGAAAACTCAAAGCTCTAAACGTTTAATTAGGATTTGAACTTTTAAAGAAAAGATATCTCTATAGGGGTCATCCCTAAATTACATAACGCTCTAGATGAGAAGGGGGAGGGGAATCGAGGAGAGCGTTACGCGATTTTAATTTTACGTTTTAAAGGATAGGGGCCTACCTCTCAAAAGCGTTACAAGGGGAGGGGGATCAGATATTCCGAAAATGTGCGTTATATAATTTAGGAACGGCCCCTTAGGCCCTTGTGATAACTGAGCTGATTCATTTGTCCATTTTTCAGTGATCGCGCTGCTTCTCGACCTAAACCCAATTTTTTTATTATGCTGAGTACCTCTAATTATTCGAAAAAGTAAAAGACGGATCTCTGCTGAAGTCAAATTAATTCCGAAAAACAGACGTAGCAAATTGTAGCTCTAATTTTTATTTTGAGGAATGATATCACTCACTCCTTTGACTACTGTACCGATGTGTGTTATATTTTCCTTGAGTTTCATGGTCCTTCTTATCTTTTGCTTACTTGCATGTCTTGACTCTTAAAACACCGTATTGCGCAGAATTGTTTGACTAAGTTGTTGCTTTTTCCGTTTTGTTCCAGGGGTCGAATAATTTATTCACATGTCCTGCAGGTAAGAACCCCAGACATTTTATTTATACCTGCACGTCAATTTAGAGACTGCGGCTGTTGCACGAAAGAATACCAATGAAGTAACCACGAAACACCACGGGAAATCATCTGACAAAAATCTATCACGCTTGAAATCCATTTTAATATTCTTTGATGTTGCATTCTGACTTGTTTCTAATTCTCCTCGATTTTTTCCTTAATATATCAAGTTTTACTTAAATACTCAAGACCCCATAGAGGTTTTAAAAAACAAACTTAGTTTCACACCATGCCACGGATAGAAAATGCATTTTAGAGTCTCTAAACAAGCAATTAACCTATTCTTGCTCAGACGAGTTTTAAAAAGCAGTGACATTATTTTGTGATGCATTAAAAAACTAATCTAACAAAATCAAAGTATATACAGCTGTAAGTGGCATTAGTGAAGTTGCAGATTTTTAAGTAAAAATGTTTAAATTATTATAATTTTTTAAGTCGAGGTTGAATCGTGTGCGAAGGAAGGTCAAGTTTTAATGGCAATTTCACGTTTATTTTGTTGATCCTCATTAATTCTAATTCGAAGTGTTTTGATGATACGGATGTTCATTTCGAACATGCTATGATCATTAGGTGGTTTGAACCGAAAAAATATCAATTAGAATCAATCAGGGTCAACGAAATGAAAGTGAGTACAGGCACAATAATATGAACTTGATATCGTGATGAAACTCCTCAATCGCAAAGTAGGTCATGTATTATTACCTGCACTGAACTTTTGCCGGATTTTTGTTTCTTCGATGGCAACGCTGTATATGATATCGCATGCAACCAGTGGCTGGACGAGGAATCGCCGCAAGGAATCTAAAATGCAATGTGGGTGGCCGTCTGCGAAGAAGGTCCAGCCAGAAAATAGATTCATTGCAGGCACCATTGCCACTTTCATTCAAGAATGTTCAACTTTCAAATTCTCATTCATCAATCTGTGTACAAAAGTTTCATTTGCCCGCACCATTAGCACAAGACGCTTATTTCAGACCACAGACCTGAAAAATATATACCTGGCACGCACTTTTGGAAAATTTGAGTTTACCATTCAGTATACCTACTTTCAATACACATTACGATGAAATAATTTTTTCTGCGTACTGAATTTTCCTCGATAATCGCGTTGATTCCGTCGATTAGATTAGAATAGGGAGTACTTCGCTGTAAACCAAACACTGATCATTTAGCGAGCGAATAAGATTTTTTTTCTATGACCGAGTTGACTAAGTAGTGGGTGAACTTTGGCTTTTTCGCGGGCGGGACTTTTAAATCGACTAATAATAATGTTAACTCATCAAACGTTCGAAAGTTAATTTTTGAGGTTTTCGAAGTATTCTAAGTGTTGTATGTGAACCTAGTATCAGAAAGAATGTCTCAGTGAAATTTAATTTTACCCCGTCTAGTGGTCCATTGCAGTGGCGAGGCGTGAATGATCGATTATCGATATTTCCCCATTTGAAGTTATGGTAAAGAATCGATTATTAAGGTGTTCCTTGCGACCATTCTGCTTATCGATCCTTTTCGATAGATTTTAATAGCAGATCAATCGATGTATCGCAAAGCACGCCACGCACTGGTTTTATTGATCAAGTAGCGGATAAAAATTCACCTGAAGGTAGTAAAATCGGGCTACCCGGTGATGAAGAAGTTGGATGCCGGGAGCACCCGCCCAATCGAAGGTCACGATAACAAAACCCGCGGAGGAATTTAATTCAAGAGCTATTCTCCTCCGATATTCCGCTCACCTAGCTCAATCTCAGCGAGGGGAGATTTTAATTGAAAAATTCTCAAATTGATTCCGAAGCGCGCCCTGCCTCTGTGCAGAGTTCACGTCCCCGCCTGTGTCCGTTTCCCGCCGTGACAGGATACAAGCAAGAATCAAGACGAGAAAAAATTACTCACTTACTCAGGTGAACTCAGCCATTTTCTTTGATCTTAGCAAAACCTCCTTCATTGAAAAAATTTTTGTTGAGATATTATTTTGACTTAAAACGTCCTTTCATGTCGACAAAATATGGTTTTTTCTAGTAGAATCCGTGCGAATTTAACTCAACATCAGTTTTTTTGAGTTAAAAAAGCATCGTTTTGCTATCGTTAAGTTTGAGTAAAAAAAAGCGACAGAAAATGAACGTTCCTTTATTTAAAAGTTGCAATTTCGAGGCCGGCAAAAGTAATGTTATTCCGGGAAATTTGAAAATTTCGCGATGAAAATCAGTAATGGTTTACTTCATCGGCACAATAAACAACGCTGGAATTAAGTTAAGGTTTAAGTGAAACAAGTAAAGCGCCATCAGTTGGGAACGCATGCGAGGAAAACTGAAAGAATGCCATAGCGCCTTGATGCAACTATTCGAGCTCCATGGATGTCCGTGTTGCATACGCACGGAGTTGAAGGCGTTTTGATTCCCCCGGCACTCACCGCTTCACTCACGGCGCGGTGGCAAGCAATGCTGCAAGGATCTACAAAATGAAAAGGGCGCCTCTAATTCTTCGTAAATACTAGAGAGACATCTCTTAGGCACAAGTGGCTGCACAAAGGCGAAAGATGTGAGTAGCTTTTTAGAATGATCATGATTTGTAGAGCTACTTAAGTTTATACTAAAGAGATGTATTTTGACGCTAAAACTACGAGACCACATATCTCGGTTAGCTACGTTACATTTACGGACTTCCTGTCATCCTTTATTTTTTCAATTTAGAACTACGCAATGCCATTTTTTGAAAACTCCTGCGATTTACTTCTCTGTGAGATGCAAAATCTGTGAAAACTTCAAGGAATAATATTGATTTGTTCTCCTTCAAAAAAATAAAATATAAGCGGAGATTTTTAAACACCGCAAACGAGATGCATGGTCTGATATTTCATGTTAAGGTGTGAAGTAAACAATGAAAGCTTCAGTTAGTGTCGCATACGACGGATACTAAATGAATTTAATCATTCCATCTGCATGCAACTATTCGGGCTCCATGGATGCCCGTATTGCATACCCACAGAAAAGAAGGCGTTTTGACTTCAGACTCGCTAACCGCCTAACCAGCAGTGACGCTTAGAGGAGCGAGTCAATAAGACGAGGACAACATATTTAAAGCAGTTAAGGCAGTGAATGAAAAATATTGATAATAGTTTGCGAGATTGTCTATTTTGCCGTTCATATTAGGTTCTCTCACATCTCTTTCTCGGCGAACCTCTTTGCCGGCGTCTAGGAAGAAATTTCCAACGGATACAGTAAATTTACAATACGCGCACCGTGACTGTTATGTGATGTTAGCCAGAAAGAGTCTACATAGATGACGGGCTTTTTGTGTGTAACAGGTTCAGTGTCACAGATTGAGCGCACTGCCTCCTCTCTGTAGGGAATGACCCCTCTATTTTCTTTGTTCTCCATCGCTGCAAACGAAGAGCTTGCAAAAATCTAGTTCGACCAATCTTAAGCGGGATTAGATACGAGTCTTCGCCAGTGGCCGTCCACTGCCGTTGGAATTTTGGAATGGATGAGGAATTTGAAAAGAAGCGAGATATAATAGTCGTCACGCAATTTGCTCGGGCTACAGGGGACCTCTTCTTCAGACCCCAGTGGGTCCGGCAGAACGTTTGACCCCCCGCGATGGCCCCTGCGTCTCCTTTCTCCGCACCTGACCCCTAGCACTATCAGAGAGAACTTCGACTTTTAAAGACGTTCAGAAGAAATGCAAACGTGGAAGTAGGTAGCACTCTGTGCTTCTCAATAAATAACAAAGGAAGGGCAACTCGCCTTCAGCAATCTATTTTATGTACGTGTAAAAATTTAAGCCTTTTTCACCCGCTCTTTTCATAAAATTACATCTTTCTACAATTCGGCGTTATATTTGGGGATATTGTTGTACTCTATATGTACTTAGCATGATTTTGCACAAGATCGGTTACGATAATAAACCTCTGATTGGACTGTATTTTGCAATTTGGAACTGTAAATTCGGGCCCGGTTTAAAAACAACGTATATGCCATTAGTTTCTCTATGCACATAAGTGTTTTTTCAGATGAGACAGAATTTACAGTTCCAAATTGCAAAATGCAGTCCAATTCATGCAGAGTCTCGAAGTTTCTCACACGATTCACCTCGTTTGTCATAAGATTCACCTGAATCAGTTCGACTACTCTGTCTAGTGTTTTTTATGGACATTGAAAAGACAAGATCATGCAAAAAATATTAGTTTTCAAAACCACCGCAGCTGAATAACATGAAAAAACAGCCTTCTCCTCAAAGGTTAGAACGTTTAAGGTGGTAAGCACTGATGAGACTCGGGTCACTTAAAATTTAACATTTTAAAGGGTCTTCGAAAATCATTTGAGGCGGGCCGCATTGTAAAACCGAGTTCTATCTTTTGCGAGCTGATCATTGAAATTGATAGACAAAGAAGACAAAATGCAAGTAAAGCGATTGCCGGAAGCGGGTGGTTGCAATGGACAAAGGAAGTAGGTAATAGACTAACCAACGGCAACCCATAAGAGACCTCACAGTTAGTCCATAATTTTCTCCCTCAGTCTATAGGAACCACCCATTTTAACCAATAGGATCGCTCCTTATTCCCTATATGTTTTGATCGCTTTGTCTATCAATTTCAATAATCAGCCCGTTGGTAATGAGTAAACGAAATCATGACTCACGAGGATGCACGGTCAAAATTCATTAAATTGTGTGATGGGAAGTAAACGAGTTTTAAATTATTTCCACGCTATTCATGACAACACCGGGAGAGTTTACTCGTTGGCAAATAAGACTGCACAAACTATCCTCTGTCTTTGACGTAAACAGATTATACTCTTGATCCTTCTGATGAGTTTTTTGACGAGTCACGAAAAGAGAAAGTCCTTTGAATCTAGGGCGGAACACCACTTACATCTAATTTCACAGATGCATACGGGCACGGGTACTCGGCCCAGACAATAACACTTGTTTTCCTCGCTTATAATAATCCGGGAGCGAAGGCATCGTTGC